CTCCTCCCTCCTCCTTGGCAACCACCAGTCTGTTCTCTATGTCCCCGATTCTGCTTCTGTTTAATAGGTAGGTTCATTTGTATCATTTAAATTCCACATATAAGTGAGATCATATGGTATTTGTCTTTCTCTTTCTGACTTACTTCACTTAGTATGATAATCTCCAGTTCCATCCATGTTGCTAAAAATGGCATTATTTCATTCTTTTTTATGGCTGAGTAATATTCCATTGTATATATGTACCACATCTTCTTTATCCATTCATCTGTCAATGGACATTTAGGTGGGTTCCATATCCTGGCTATTGTGAATAGTGCTGTTATGAACATAGGGGTGCATGTATCTTTTTGAATTATGGTTTTGTCCGGATATATACCCAGGAGTGGGATTGCTGGATGATATGGTAATTCTATTTTTAGTTTTCTGAGGAATCTCCATACTGTTTTCCACAGTGGCTGCACCAGCTGACATTCCCACCAACAGTGTAGGAGGGGGAACAAGTTTCTAAGTGGAAAGTGACATTTGAAAAATAAATCTGGAGTCAGAATACAGGACAAATTTCAGGAATGGAGACATTAGAGACAGAAAAATAATTAAGAAATTTTACCACGTTATGCCTGAATTATTGTTAATAAAGGCATAAACTAGGTGAATAGAAACAGTAAGAGGGATGTGTGGAATTTGTGAGACAGTAAAATAGGACTTACGTGTTAAGTTGGGACTAGATGAACTTTATTGATCCTCTCCTAAAAGATAATTACTTCTAGTATACACCTCAATCATTTGGCTTAAAAACCTCACAATTTTCCTTTTCCCTCACTCCCCTAAGAGTGCTCTTTCTCAGACATTTGCTACCCCCCACCTACCATCCCCCAAACTGGCTTCTCCAACCACATAATATATTCCAGCCAAAACAAAGGACTATATTTACTAGTTCCCTAGACAAACCAGGAAATTCCCAAACCAATGACTTTGTTCATGCTATGTTGTCTTTAATGTCCTCTCTCTGTTCTTCGTACCCAAAGTCTAGACATTCTTCACACCCCAGGTCAATGCCACTTTTCCCACCAAGCTCTCTCAGAGGCCCCAACTCAAAGTAAGTGTTGTCTCCCAATACTCTCCATTTTTCTCTGAAACACTTTTTTCAAAAAACCTTGCAATTGTTCCTTATCTCCTCTGGTAAACTATATACTCCCCATGGTAAACATAGCCAATTTATTTCTGTATTCCTTCCTTCTCTTTTCATAGGTACTTGAAGATCTTGATAAATAATATATGGCAACGGCACAGTATAATGGCTAAAAGCACAGACTCTGAAGACAGACTGTTTGAATCTGAATCTTAATACTGCCATTTATTAGCTACGTGACCATGGGCAAGTTACTTAATCTCTGTATGCTACAATATCTTTATGTATAAAATGGAGATAATAAGAGTAGATATTTCATAAAGTTGTCAGAGGACTTGGCTTAGAACAGTATAAGCATCATAAAAGTATCTATTAAATACAGTGGAAAAATACTGAATATTCTGTGATACGTGAGTAAAGCTTTATTTATCTATGGAAAGCAAAATGAAGCCAGTCTCTAGGTACTAAATAGGTATATACAAATTCTTCCTAAATCTTCTTATGTATTCCCTAAGGGTTAGCTGTGTCCTTTAAAGTCTTCCTTATGTTAACAATGGTTCTGTTGTAGTTTGACATTTCAATTTCTGAGAAAATATTTAGTTCAGCTTCCTGTGACAATAAGACACCTAATTGATCTTCTTGCCTCCAGTCTTACCCCCTTAAATCCATCCTCCCATGGCTCAAAGAGTATCTTTCTAAAATGCAGACCTAATGTTTTCCCACTGCTACAAACCCCCTCCATTCCATCCCCGTTAGGATAAAGTTTAAAATCCTTAGAGTCTCATACAAATTCCTCCAAATATGGACCCTGCCTAGTCTCCAGTTTCATCTCTCAACACTTTTTACCATAAAACCTAATCACCCGGCCACATCTCAAAAGCTTTTTGTATGTCATTCCTTTTGCTAGAACATCTCTCCATTAGTTTGCTAGGGCCACCATAACAAAATACCACAGACTGGGTAGCTTAAACAACAGAAGTTTATTTTTTCACAGTTCTGGAGGCTAGAAGTCTAAGATCAACATGTCAGCAACACTGGTTTCTCGTGAGGCTTGCAGATGGCTGCCTTCTCAATGTGTCCTCACGTGGTTTTTTTTTTCCTATATGCACATGTCCCTGGTGTCTTTTTGTGTCCAAAGTTCCTCTTCTTATAAGGTTACCAGTCAGAATGAATTATAACACACCTTAAAGGTCTCATTTTAACTTAATTACCTCTTTAAAGGCCCCATCTCCAAATACAGTCACATTCTGAGGTTATGGGGGCTAGGACTTCAACTTACAAATTTTGGAGAAACACAATTCAGCCCACAACAACCCCTTCTCCTTTTCTTTAGCCAGGCTAATTCCCATTTGTTTTTCCAAGACTGGCCCAAGCCTTCCCATCCAGGCAGATTTCACTGCCCTGTCTCTGTGTTCCCATAGTACTTCTGCATGCTGCTCTCTGTATGCTGCTATCCCATTAACACACTATCCCAGTTGTCTCTTCCTTCTTCAGACTGTATTCCTTAAAAGCAGAGACTAAATCTCTAGCACTTAGCACAGTGTCTGTTCCACTGAAGGTATTTACTAAGGATTTGATTATTTAGGGAAAGTAGAAGAACATGGACTTTGAAGAAAGGCAAGCGTGAGTTCAAATCCTGGCTATACCATTTACTTATCTTGTGGCTTTCGACAAGTCACTAAATGCTGACCTTCCATTCTACATAAGGCAGTTATAAAGATAAATGACTTAATTATAATAAAAGCATCCAGTTGTAGGGTTGGTACATAGTAGGTGCTCAATAAATGTTAGAGTACAGATTCTGGGATTGCCTGGGTTTGACACCCAATTCCACCACTTGGTAGCTGAATGACCTTGGGTATGTTAACTTATCCTCTGCTTCAGTTGCTTATCTATTAAGAACATCTCACACTGCTACTGTGAGGATAAGTTAATATAGGCAAAATATTTAGACGGGTATCTAACACTTATAAGTACTATACAAATGTTTCCTATTATATGATCACTGCAGATCTGAACTAATATGACTGGAAATCATGAATAATTTAGTTCATTCAATTATGAAGTTATTTTAAATGTGAATATTACTTCAATGCCTCAGATTTCTTACCACTAAACAGGATAGTAACTAAAGAGGTTCAAAAACTGGTACGGATGATATAAACAAAGATCAAAATAAACATGAAATAATATCATCTGCCTCATTCCTTATATTAGTGTTTAAACATACTTTGGGTATTGAAGTAAAAAATCTTAAGAAACAAGTTTTTCTAGTCTTTGCGACTACAGATGTTAACCATTTGCAGTAGAGAATAACACTCCTTGGCTCCTATTTTCAATTTCAGAACCACTAAACCTTTGAACTGGAAAGACCTTTGAGATGAAAGACCAGTCCTATCATGGCTTACATTAAGTAAACAGGTGGATTTGTAACGGGCTTTCAGGGTCTTAATAAGCAGCTCTATGGAGGACGGGAATTACAAGCAGAGAGAATAACTGGTTCAAAAGTACTAAAGCAGGGTTCATAACTTATTCTAAATGTCCAAGGTATGTAGTAGGAACCAGTATTAGGAAATAACGCTGGAAAATGCCTTTGAATCATCCAAACTTTAAGGTCAGTAATTTCTGAAGTAGGTACCTGACCTGTAACTTTGAAGTAAGGCAGATCTAGGTATGAATCTCCACTTGTTACATAAGCAAAGCTGAGCCTCAGATTATGCAACAGGGTTATTATAGTGATTAAGTGATCAAATGTACATACAGCTCATAACTGAGATGCCTGGCTGATTGAAAGTACTCAAATTTTTGTCTTTCTGACCCCTGTCACCATACGAATAAAAATCTGCAAAATAATAAAACACTGTCTTTCATACAGTATGTGTTTGCTGAATGTCTGAGACTTGTTGAACATTACTTAATTTTAAAAACAGAAAGCTGGAATAACTGCTGAAATGATCAAGTGTCTTCATCCCTGCCCTTTCTCCCCACCAAATGTCCTTCACAATTTCTTCGCAAGTGTCACTGCACCACCATTAACATGCTATTAACATGCTGTAGCTTCCAATTCTACAGCAAAGATTTGAAGGTCAGGAAAAAATAATCATTGAAATAGATAAAACAAAACTAAACTAAACTAAACTGGAAGAGTCCATTTCATTTTATTCCTATGGTCCATTCTAGCTTGATGAATTTCCAGTGAAAAGTTAGTTTCTGACGCAGAAACTGCAGGTTTAAATAAAAGGTTCGTGGTCAAGTAACTGAATTCACCGCTATTATAATGACCCAGAAATCTTTTAAGTGTTTAGGAGACTATCTTTACTCTGGTTCTAAAAGGACATCTGCCAATATCCATTATTTACGCTTGAAACTAAAGGCAACCGTCTTTCTTTTAAAAGACGTGCGGTGTCTGGCTCAAAATCAACCGCAAGAAAAGCCCAACTCAACACTGAAAGAGCTCTTTCCAATACCCTCTCGTCTCGCTCACATCACAGATGGCGACCAAGGCTTAAGGTTTAACGTCCAGACACTAAAGCCGCTTATCGCTCAAGGATGGGGCACCAGGTGGGTGCTGTCCGGCAGAGGATGGGATGCTGCCAATCCTGAGAGGTGCAGCTGGGGTGCACCCCGAGGCCGGAGCCCAACGCCCAACACTTCGCACTTACACTTGGGAAACCACCCGCTTCCCACCGCGGTGGGGCGGGGTGGGGGGGGACGGACCCGGCGAGGACCCAGTCCTCCGGTACCCAGCTCAGGCTCCGGTGTCCGCGCGTGACCTCCGAAGACCGGGAGGAGCGCGGGGTGGGGAGGTTCCTTTGCCTTCAAGGGAGGATGGCAAGGGCAAGCTCGAGTCGTGCGCGGGAAGGTTACTCACAGGACTGGTCCGGCGTCCTCCGTCCTTCGCACGCGCTTGCACAGGGAGAAGCCTCTAAAACAGCAGCAGCCTGAGAGGAGCAGCAGAAGCGGCCGCCGCTGCCAGTAACCGCCCGGGCGTGGCAGGAACGGACTGGCGATTTCACAACATCATCATTCGGCGACTTCGGTTTTGCAGCTACTCCAGGTCAATGACAGCCCCCACACATTTGGGGAAGAGAGGAGGAAACCCATTCTCCCAGCAGCCTGCACGGCACCAGCGCACGACCTGCTGGGGATTGTAGTTTCCTCTAGACCACGCCCCTATCTCTAAAGGCCACGCCCCTCGCTTCTAGCCCGGGGTCGGGGGCGGGGCGGGGGCGGGGCGGGGGGCGGGTCCGCGACCCTGGGGCCAGGGTGGGGCGAGCCCAGTGCTGGAGGGCTGCTGGGGGTTGGGGCAGAATTCCAGGCCCACAGTGCCAGACGGGTCGCGCCGCCCTCCTGGCTCCGCGGCTTGTGCCGCGAGCGGGCCTTGCGCGCTCGCTTTGCCGCTGGGCGGGCCTGGCGCCCGGGCCCCGCACCGCTGGCCGCCTGAGGAGAGCCGCTGGCCGCAGTCGCCGCCAGGGTAATGAGGGGAGGCCGGGCTGGGGAGGAGAAGGGCTACGGGCTGGTCAAGTAGTGAGGGAGCGCGGCTCCGCCAGCGCGCGCCTACGGAAGCTCGAGGCTAGAACTCGCCGCCCCGCTTCCAGCCTGAGCCCGGGAGGCCGACGGAGCCGTGGCGGGAGTCCGGCTCGGCGTGGCGAGCGGCCCCTGCGTGCCGCGCGGCTCCGGCTCGGCCCGGCGTCCCGGGCCGCGTGGCGTCCGAGGCACCTGCGTGCGGGGTAGGTGGTGCCTGCTGGGGTCGGCGGTGCCAGGTGCGCGGGGCCCAGCTGCCCGCGGCGCCACCCCACACCCCCCCCCCCGCCGCTGTCACCTTTGGCCGCACTCACAGGCACGCAGAGTCTCCAGACCCAAGGTGCCCTCCGGCCCGGCTCTGTGTGCCGCCTTCTGCGAGTTCGCTGCAAAGTCCCCCAAAGCAGGACTCGGAAGGAAGCTTTTACGTAATTGAACGCTCAAGCCGCGTTTCGTCCTCGGTATTTAAGTTCAACGTTGTGTTTTTCCCTCGTGGGTTTGTTGTGTCGCGTACCTTTTTCCTCAGAACTCGATTGGAATTGGTGACAGCGCCTATCTAGGATAGAGCCTGGCACACAGTAGGCGCTTAGTAAATATTTTTTGAAAGCCTGAGTCACGATGCTAAGTTTGGAAATTCTACCGAGTTGTGCGTGGCTATAATTTTTAAGATTTTATGGGTTCCCAAGATAACTTTGAAAATTACAGTAATTTTAAAGCTCCGCAAAGAGTTAAATCTGGCTTTTTTGCATTCCCTGTAACAAGGGCCTCTGTTGGATGCTTAAATTAACTCAAAACCCGAGTTCTGTAATTTAGATGCGCCTTCCGATTGTCGCAGAAAGTGTTAACCTTTCAGATTAAAGCTTTCGGAGGAACCATTCTATTTTAGAACAAATTTAAATTATTTAGAAAGATTTATTTAAATTCTCTTTTTAGAGATAATTGCGAGGGACCACACTGATGTACTTGTAAATACATTTAGAAATACAAGTCTCAAGTATGAATTTTTGAAAAGGGTTTATGTTCATACCTAGTGAAAGAGCACGCAGGAGAAAATTATGACGGCAGACCTATACCCCGCCCTCCAGCGACCCCCACCCCCGTCTCTTAGCGGGGGCAGCTGCTGCCTTGACCTCAAAATGTCTCATAAAAGAATCTCTTAATAGTCTGTCACATCTAAAGCAAAATCCTCTGGGATTAAGCCATGCACGTGGGCAACCCCTTTAGTACTGACAATTCTCACAGATTGTGTCTGCTTCTTATGAGTTTTTCTGAAAAATAGATAATGTAATGGAGTTTAAAGGTTTTTTGTTGTTGTTTAAGAAAGAACTTAACTGATATTACACAGAAAGAGCAAGAAACAAATTCCTGAGAACCAGGAAATTCAGTTAATCACGACATCCCTGATCTTTCTGCTTGTAGGAATGTATGCTCCAAGTGGTCAGGGCCTTGTCTGCCTCGATCACTAGTGAGTGTCCCCAGTGCCCAGCACAGTGCCTGACCCATAGCAGCCATTCATTAAACACTTGTGGGATGAATACTTGACCGTTTCAGGTAACAGGGTAATTACTTTCTACATGCTTGTAGTTTCTTCATTTACTTGGATGTTTCCTTAGAATAGATTACCAGAAGTGAGAATTTTACAGGGTCAAAGGGATGAACATTTTTATAGTTATCAAAACATTGCCAACTTACTTTCCAAATGAGTCCTACCATTTGGTACCTTTCAGAGCATCTTCTCAAGCTCTTACTGATACAGTATTTGATAGTTCTGAGCACTTTCAGATAAAGTATTTCATTGATCCGAATCACCCTGGAAAGTGAGCAGGGCAGGTTTTGAATTACCTCTTTTGTAACAGCAAACACCAGTGCCTTAAATTGATGGTAATGAATGGCAGGTGACAAAAATAAACCATCTGGGTTTTTTTCTTCTTCCCATTCTCTTACTTTGGTTTGTAGTGAATATCCTGAATAAATTGACATCTTTTCTTAGCAATAAAATTGGATGCTGCTGTATAATATCTATGGTTTACAAAAGCTTTTTCTTTCTAATTTTGTTCAGATGTTTGCAGATGCCTTGATCAAACTTGGGGACTTCATTAAAATGAAATAATGAACCACAATTTAGGTGAAAGAGATACTGGGTAGGTGTAAGGGAATACCCAGCACTAGCAAGTTTCGAACATTGCCACCCTTTCTATTAGAAAAGATTTGGAAACTTTTGGTGGTGCTTTTGTAGCTCCTTCAATCTGAATAAGTTACTATTTTAAACCTCTGCATCTGTTGGAGCCTTCATAAACTATTGAGATTAATACTCCATCAGTGAAAGTGGACAGGAATTATTTGTGTAATAATCTGCATATCTTTCCTATCTGTCAATAAATTCCAAGAAGAATGGAAATGAGAACTAAGAATCATAAAAAATATTCAACCTACAGAAAATATTATTTTCACATGAAAACTGAAAAAAAAATCTTTTTTTAAACATGGCAAGAAGAAAATGTAATTAATTCCTACTCTGTTGCTAATCTTGACTCTTTCCCAAATTTGCTGGTCAGTTACCCTAGATGATTTAATACGTAATTAATCGGATAAGGAAGCTTTGGAAGATTCAAAGTTTACTTCTAAGTAGAACCATTGGAAATTCTTGGGCATCATTTGTATTAAAAGTGGGTCCAACATTACCTTTCTGTATTGTTTTTACATTTGCTTAGGGTTCTGTAAAGAAGTAGTATAGAAAAGATAAGGAAGAAGAGATGCAGGTTTATTGAGGCTTTGGAAATATTCAGAACCTCCTTTCAACTTCACTCCACCTTTCTGTTGTGATGTCAGATCCCAAATAGTGTTCAGTAAACAGAACTGTTCTTTAAGGACACCTTTCAGGAATGTCTGTAGTGCTTGTGTCAAAGAATAGCTGCCCAAATAGTGGTGGGTTTATGGCAACTAGATCTTTAAGGCATTTGTATGTAAATATAAGTTATTTTGCTTCTGTTTTTATACTAGGATATTTCTGTATCTTGAAGATAAAGCAGAAATCTTCTTTGGAGTAGATGGATTTTTCTCACTTTCTGTGAACTAAAGCGATTCAATGTCTCTTTTGGTAAGTTTTTATAAGCGCGGATCTAATTTTGTGTCAATAGAGTAATTAGATGTTAGTGCAAAGCCCTAATAGGCATACTCTGATGGAATATTCTTAGGCTCTGAGATGTTATTTTGATCTGAAAGACTTCTGGTCTTTAAAAATGAGTTAAATTATCATTGAGTTTTTGTCTCTTTAAAAAAGAGCTCCTATACTTTTCTGATATACTCCTTCTATTCCTTTGTCCCATACCCACTTTTCTCATACATTTACTGTCCTTAGACATTACTCTTCCATCCAGTTAGCTATGCCTTATCCTTTAAATCTTTCAAAAATCCCTTTGACAAATTTCCATCTGACTAAAGGCAAGCAAAATAGTATGAAAAATAAGCCCCTTGACTTAACAAGACAGGAAACATTAGGATCATTGTCTAATATGATGTATAGATACTAACGTGGTTTTTGTTTATATTAAGTCCATGGTATCTACTCTAGATTAAGTAGTTTTAGGACTTTCATTGTGTCTTATGTAGAATATAATACGTTATTTGAATATTTGAATTTCTTTTAAAAAGTGGTGGGTGCATTTGTATGATGATTTGTAATTTACAAATGCTTTCATGTATTATAGCTCTCTCAGTCTTCAAAATTGTAAGCAGGGCAGGTGGTATAATCCTCATTTGGAGTTTGGCCCATGATTGCACAGAATTAGAGCCAGGGCTCAAACTCACGTCTGCCAATCCACTCTATCACTTGCCAAGTCTGAGAGGCAGAACTATGAAGTTAGGAGACTGTATTGTTAGTTATTTGGAAAATATATAATGCATTTACTTTATGTTTAAAGTAAAGTTTATCTACTTAAAAGGGGAGCTTTATATATCTGGAAAATACATTGAGGTGAAATATCTACCTCATTTTCTAAAGCAGGGATCAGCAAACTTTTTCTTTAGAGGGCCAGGTAGTATTTGTGTGCTATGTGATCTCTATTAAGTTACTCTTGGAAAAAGCTGCCATAGGCAATATGTAAATAAATGCAAATGAATGTGTCTGTGTTTCCGTAAAATATTATGCACTAAAACAGGTGGCGGGTCAGATTTGACTCGTGGACCATAGTTTGTTGACCCCTGCTCTAAAGGATTACTTAAGATTAACAATTTTATGTCAGTTTGTAGGTTGGATGAGATGTAAAAGGGCATTTGATAGATGGAGATACTGAGATTCAAAGGGCTGTATGGTTGCCCAGGGCTTCCAAATTTGGGGGAAAGGACATCTTACTTAATCTATTATTTCATAATTATGGATTTTTGGAAAAATAGAATTTGATAGGGTCATTTATATTTGTTCAGTTTGTTAATAATTTTACTTTGTATTCTTCTTGCAATGAAATATTTAGAATCCTTTGAATCAAAACATTCATGTTTTCTCCTCAGTGAGATATTTGTGTAACTGAGATAAAGTTAATGTTTTTGCTTATGAAGGATTCTTCCTCATTCAAATTTTACCTCTATTTGACAG